AACTAAAAGTAAAATTAAATACAGAAAAATATTGTAAAATTCATAAAAATTTTAAAATTTAGAGAAGTTAAAAATTTGAAAAAAATAATTTAATTACAGGATTTGCTAAAAGTATATCATAACATCGTTGAAAATAACATTTTCAAATATATCACTTATAACGATGACGGTTTTTCAGATAACTATTAAAAATGACGTTTTTGGCATATATCCAATGATAGTTTTCGACATCATCATTATCGTCATTGCTAGTGGTTATATGATAAACCATCATCCTCATAAATGATATATTTGAAATTGTTTTTGTAAACGATGCTTTGATATGTTATCTTCTGGAGCTAATCAGGAACATCTTCCGGAGCTAGTCAGGAATCTCCATCGGTCTTCAACAGACTAAGTGGCCAGAAAAATCTCTATTTAGGGCAGTTAGCAGGGTCACAGCAGAAGGATGATAGACCACCATCATCGGTGTTCGAAAGACTGTGGGGTCATGACTCGAGTTCGTCACTAGAGAAATTGATTGGAAATTTAGAACCAGGCGGGAATAAAAGAAGACGCCTCAGCAGGAGTGATGAGAAAACTAAAAAGAAGGCAAGGATTGGAGGAACACTTGAGGAAACTCCTGCTTCAGTGTTCGAGAGACATACTTCAAATGGGAAGGGCTCAGATATGAGGATCCTGAGTTGGGAATACCCCTACAGTCTGACAACTTCAGGAAATATACCGGGTGTACTCTCCTGATATTATATTCCTCAGTGAAACAAAGAACAAGCGACATTATTTAAAAGAGGTTCTGGAAAAAAATTGGGTTTCATGATATGAGAACAGTGGAGCCGATAGGTAGAGGTGGAGGTCTAGCGGTACTATGGAAAGAAACATGCGGGGTTTAGGTGTGTCAGGACAATAGGAGGATGATGGATCTTAAGGTAATTTGGAAAGAAAAATCTTTCAACCTAACGGGTATCTATGGTGAACCAATCAAGGGGAACACAAATAGAGTATGGGAATGGCTGACAAGAATAGGTATAATCCGGAAGGATCCTTGGTTCTTAATGGGGACTTCAACGAGATTGTTGACCAATCTGAAAAGCAGGGTGGAGCCGAGAGGATAGATGAAGAGGGTTCAGAGTTTAGACAAATTCTGAGTAACTGTGGTCTTTGAGAAATTCAGCATAAAGTTTTCAAGCTCTCTTGGCATGGTGTCTGGAACAACAATTTGGTACAATGTAGACTTGATAGGTCACTTGCAAATCAAGCTTGGCTGAATCTCTTTTAACAAGCCACAGCGAGATATCTTCAGAAAGGATGCTCTGATCATAGTCCCATCATCAACTTCTTAGATGGGATTGAATGGAGAAGGAGAGCAACTTTTAAATACGATTAGAGATGGATCAAAAGGGTTGGATTCGTGGATACAGTGAGGCAGAGCTGGAACAGTGGAGGTTTCGGTCAGTCAGGGCTGATGTAGAAGTTATCAAATTGTAGAATGGCCATCTCCAACTAGAAAAAGTCCGTTAAGCCGAATTCAGCTATCAGGATCCAGGAACTTCACCACATATTGATGTTGCATCTCACCGGAACCTCTATATTCCAGGGGAGATAAGCCAATTGATGAAGGAGCTTAGTATAGAATACTACAATGAAGATACTTTCTGGAAACAAAAAAGCAGGCTGGATTGGTTGAAAGCTGGAGACATGAACAACACAAATTTTTTTCATGCAGTCACCAAAAACCGAAGTGCACAAAATTATATTCATAATTTGGTGGACGCAAATGGAAAAAAGTGGTTTGAAGAAACAAACTTAGGAAAAGTGGCAGCGGATTATTTCAAGGCTGTTTTTGCAACAGAAGATGTTGGTGTGCAAATGAGCGACTGGGAAGACATAACTCTGAAGGTTTCTCAGTCGTAAAATGAAGAGCTTCTAAAAGAGGTGACGATGGAGGAAGTGAGAAGAGCAGTGTTTGAAACAAATCCTCAAAAGTGCCCAGGATCAGATGGGATGACTGCTTACTTCTATCAAAAATTTTGGGAATCTGTGAGAGGGGATCTTACTGAGATGATGAAGGAGTTTTTTCGGTCTGGCAAGCTGGAGGAGGGAATTAATAGGACCAATATTTTTTTAATTCCAAAAAATCTTAAGGCAAATAGCCTAGCTGAGTTCAGACCGATAAGCTTATGTAATGTTTCTTTCAAGATAATAACAAAGATATTGGCTAAAAGGCTCAAGAAGATACTCCCATAGATCATATCAGAAACTCAGGCTGCTTTCATTGAGGGCAGAGTCATTCAGGACAATATCCTCATAGCTCATGAGCTCTTACATGCGCTAAAATCGAATAACAAATGCTCAGAGGAGTTCTTAACAGTGAAGACGGATATCTCTAAGGCGTATAACAGAGTGAAGTGGTCTTTTCTGAGGATGGCTATGAAGACTTTGGGTTGCTCGAAGAAGTGGTGTGAATTGATCATGGCTTGTGTATCCTCTGCACAGTATTAGGTGTTGATTAAAGATAGGCCGTATGGAGATATCAAACCCTCAAGGAGACTGCGTCAAGGAGATCCAATATCTTTGTACATATTTGTTATATGCACGGAGATGCTAATGCTAAGGAAGCCAGAAGCAAGGGACCACATCACGGGTTTAAAGGTTGCGAGAGGAGCTCCAGCGATTTCACACTTACTGTAGGCGGATGACAGCCTGTTTTATTGTAAAAGGAACCCGAAAGAGCTGGAGCATTTGAGTCAGATCCTGAGTAGTTACAGCCTAGCTTCTGGTTAAAGAATACATTGCCAAAAATCCAGCATATACTTTTGTAAGAACATCCAACCAAAGCAGAGAAATCAGATTAAGCTGAAGATGTGTATAGAGCAAGAGGGAGGAGAAGGAATTTACTTGGGCTTACCTGAAGTGTTTGGAGGGTCTAAGGATTCAAATCTGAGCTTTTTTAAAGAAAAGAATGAGTGAAAGGGTTCAGGGCTGGCAAACCTGATTCCTCTCCCCTACAGGAAAGGAGGTCATGCTCAAGGCAGTAGCATTAGCACTTCTCACCTACACAATGTCATATTTTTTTACTCCCCAAGACGGTTTGTAAGAAAATTGTATCGATCATGTCAGGGTTTTTGTGGAGGAATAAGAAAAAAACTAAAGGAATTTATTGGAAGAGCTGGGACCAGATGTACAAACCAAAAGCTTGTGGAGGGCTTGGTTGTAAAGACATTGAGGCTTTCAACCTAGCACTCCTTGGTAAGAAATTATGGAGGATGCTGTCCCACAAAGACTCACTCCTTACTAGAGTTTTCATGAGTAGATATTTCGCCCAGGAAGAACCGCTCAGTGCAGGTCTCGGATCTTGACCCTCTTATGCTTGGAGAGGCATTCACGCTTCACAAAAGCTAATCCAGCAGGGAGCTAGAGTCTTAATCGGCAATGGAGAGAATACTAGGGTCTTCTACGAACCTGGATCAACCAACTACCGGTGAGGAGGGAAAATGTAGTGAGATCGAATGGAGATAACACGAGCCCATGTCCTCCACACAACCTGAAATTCCGAGATCTACTGATCAACCAAGGTAATGGAATTCGGAGGTGCTTAGAAGACTAATTCATGAGGATGAAGTGCAGAAAATTATTCAGATTCGTACAGGTGGTCAAAGAAGCAGAGATGTTTATATATGGGAGTATAACAAGACATGAGCTTATACAGTGGAGTCAGGGTATTGGGTTCAAATGAATATACTCAACAGACAGCAACCAATGGAAACAGATCAACTGAGCTTAGATTGCATATACCAAGTGACTTGGAGAACAGAAGCAAGCCCAAAGATCCATCACTTCCTATGGCGCTGCATAAGTAACTCAGTTCCCGTAGCTGCAAATATGGCACAAAAGCACATAACAAAGGAAGCTGGTTGTATTAGATGCACTAGCGAAGCGAAGACTGTAAATCATGTGCTTTTCCAGTGTTCTTTTGCTCGTTTGGTATGGGCAATGTCGCCTATTCCCGGCCCTTCCTGGCGGTGTTCTAATGCAATCCTTATTCTCCAATATATATCATGTGCTCAATGTCCATAAAGCATACCCTAGAGATGATATATAAGCAGAGATAGTTCCATGGTTATTGTGGCGTCTATGGAAAAACAGGAATGAGTTACTGTTTAAAGGCAAGGAATGTGAAGTGGGGAGATTATTGGAGAGGCTAATGAGGATGTTGAGGAATGGCGGGGAAGGAAGAAGGTAGAAGTTTCAGAGGCTGAGAGATGTGAAGCAAAGAGACCCCCAATAACAACCAGAGGTGCTCGTGGTCTCCCCCTCCTAAACACTGGATGAAATGTAATAGTGATGGAGCGTGGCGAAAAGATATGGCCATCAGTGGTTTAGGATGGATCTGTAGAGACAACACTAGTTAGGTTATATGGATAGAGGCACGCGCTGTGACAAGAACACCATCACCTATCCTTGCAGAAGCAGAATAAAGACAATGGCAAGCTTTGGATATAACAATATCATCTTTGACTCTGATTCTCTTTCTCTGGTCAAGATGATCAAAGGGACTGAGGAGTCTTGGTTGATCATGCAACCAATTATAAAGGTAATTCATGATTTGTATTTACAGATTTAGAATTTTAAAGTGAGGTTTATTTCTGGGGTGGAAATATGGAAGGTGACATAATAGCAAAAAAGTTTTTTACTTTTGTGTCTAGTGTTCCTAGATTATAGTATGTTGTACCTGTTTGGCTGAAATATCGGGTTGAGTATGATAAGACAGTGTATCAAAACAATGTTGATGAGTGAAAGTATTTGATGAGTCAAGAAAAAAAAAATGACAAGATTCGAAAACATTGATGAAAGAATAAACAAAATGGCGGAGTTCGGGCTTTTTATGGTTCTACTACAAAAGCCCACCAAAGAGAAACCTGTACAGAGAGAGTCGGTGAAAGCAGCTCCCAAACCATTTAAGTTTCCTTTTCCGACAGAGAAAAATATCAAATTTTTTTTTTGCTGAAATTTGGAAGACATATCATCATCTTTCCCTCAGATTCTGCAGAATAGTGAAATCTCTCATCTTCGTCTCCCTTGCGCGTTCGTCGCTCCGTCGTGTTCATCTTAAAGATCCGTCTCTCTCTTGTCGCTTGAATCAGGTACTGTGCTTTCGATCTCCTTAAGCTCATACGATTTCTTCAATTGCAACTTTATGAACTGAAACAACCTTCAATCTGTAGCTAAAACCGTACTCAAACAAACCTGAATCTCTTTATTTTTTCTGTTGATAGAAGCCATTGATGATGTCATCAACTTCTAATCCATCACCATCAGAAGCAGCTATAGTCTCCATCGATTCCGATTTTAACCTAATGACTGCAACACAGAGACGCTCTTCTACAGACGGTCCTTTAGCAATACTCTGGGACATCGAAAACTGTCCTGTCCCCAGCGACTTACGTCCCGAGGACGTAGCGAGTAACATCCGAACCGCCATACAACTACATTCAGAGGTCTCGGGCTCGGTGGTTGTCTTCTCAGCCTTCGGCGACTTCAACGCCTTCCCTCGTCGTGTTAGAGAAGGTCTTCAAAGAACAGGTGTCAAACTCGTCGATGTACCAAACGGCAGAAAAGATGCAGCTGACAAAGCTATTCTGCTTGACATGTTCTTGTTCGTGCTTGATCATCCTCCTCCGTCGACCATCGTTATCATAACTGGGGATGTGGATTTCTCTCCCGCGCTTCACGTGCTAGGTCAGCGTGGGCACAATGTGGTTGTTATTATACCTTCTGGTGTGTACGTGAACCCGGCTTTGACTTGTGCTGGTAAGTTTGTTTGGGACTGGCAAACTATTGTTCACGGTGAAGGGTTTGTGCCATTACCGAAGCCTCGTGTAGGTCCATATCTAATGGGATGTGGTAGTAATAATCTTGATGGGGTGAATGAAGATGAGACGATTCTTTATAGAGGTGTGTCTCAGAGTTTTTATAGAGAAGCTTCGTCTTTGATGGTTTCTCAGTTTAAGAATGAGTCTAGTAGCAGCATGGTGCCGTCGTGTTATCCTCCTCCTGGTCACCTTGAGTCCACCATGTGGGTAGCGCCGGGTGATTTGAATGGTTTGAAGGGACAGCTAGTGAAGCTTTTGGAGCTTTCAGGTGGATGTATGCCTCTCATGCGTGTTCCTTCTGAGTACCAAAGGAATTTTAGTAAACCCCTTTTCATAGCTGATTATGGCTCGCCCAAGCTTGTGGATCTTTTCAAGAAGATGGGTGATGTGATTGCAGTGGATGGTAAAGGAAACAAGAGGTTTGTTTATCTTCGAAGCTCCAAACCAAACCGTATCTCTCATTCTCCTCCTCCTGTGGTTCTACTTAGAAGAGAGAATAAAGGAAAAGATATCACCATTCCTACCAGTGGAGGAGTCTTGTCTGATCAACTCTCAGATACGGGTTCGGTTCAGAGCGAAAGGAACCTGGAAGAGTTCAAGTTCGAGCTGCAAGACATTATGGTAAGCTATGGTTGCTGTGTGCGGATGGATTGTTTTGAAGTGGTTTACAAGCAAAGGTACAAGAGGTCACTGGATTACATGAAGATGGGCGTGGATCAGTTGGAGCAGCTTTTTGACAAGTTCAGCGATGTTGTTGCCATATATGAAGATCCTGCTACTGGGACCAAACTCATCAAAGCGATTTAAGGGAGCCTGCCCAACTCTGATTGGGAACAAGCAATGTCAGCTCTTTGCCTGATCAGGCCTAATTTTATTTTACATGCTCTCTACTCTCTCCTTAACACAACTAGGGATCGTATTGCGCGGGGTTTGTATGTTTTTAGTAACAATGATTTCCAAAAAGCTCAATAGAATTGCTTTCATTGGGAAAAGACATGAACCTGATTTCAAGCTCTTTAAGGAGCAAATATCTTCTATCTTTTTGCAATTATACTTAATTAGTTGATATAGTTTAACATGAACTTGTGTTTTGGAATAACTGAACTCCACATCTAGGGTGAAAGATAGATCAATTTCGACAATAATGGCATGGAGAGGATCTTCCTGTGCTTTGTTTTCCTAATGTTATTTAAAGACCTGGTTATTTTCCTAATGTTGTTTGGTGATAGATGTCACTTTGCACATGGGGAAGCAGACCTACGCAGGTCAGGAATCTCCTGAGTTAGAGAAGTTTACTTGGAAAATAAGTCTCTTCTTTTGTGCTTGAGTCACGTCTTCACCTTTTTTTTATGTTGTCGTCTTTGTTTATGAGAACTTTTAGAATTTAGTTTTGGTTAACTCAAGTTTGGGAGATCTCGTAAATGGTTCACAAACTTAGAAACATACAGTGGCTTGGCTAGGATTTGTATGCTGCCTTTATTTGATTATATTCATGTGTTTCTCTGCTGTATCATCTGGTCATATGATTTTCTGAATATGTTGAGCGTTTTTCTTGCAGTAGAAAAAATAGCATTACCAATAATGCTGCTCTCAGTGTTTGGAAATTTGAAAATCCAAGTTTTTTTTCTTCTGGTAAGCACTCAACATATACAACAAAACACCAATACAGATGTCGTACGGAAACTCAATTCCAATCCAGTTTTGGAAGACGACAACATTACCATTATCATATCTCAAGAAATTCACATAAGGCTAATATATGGAAATACTTCGAATCAACATTCAAGACACTAATTATAATACAGCAAAATATTATAATCTATTGACTATAAATATATCAGGCAGAACATGTGGTAATTGTATTGGAATATACAGACTCAGACTACCTGTGATCATATCTCGAGATTCTCACACCGTAGAAGACTAAATAAAAGTATGCGTAAATTATAAGATTTCCTTTGATCATATCTCAATATTCTCACGTAAAACTAACTAGATTTTGACCCGCGCTTGAAAACGCGGAAATTTTTTATGATTAAAAATTTATATAATTAATTTTTGTCTTAGTTTAAGGAATATTTTAATATAAAATCAGTTCACCAAATTTTGTGGTAATGATTATTTTTCATTACTTTTTAGTTTCAGTTTTTATTTTTATTTTTTTTTTTATAACACTTGAACATGTGAAGATAATATTTGTGATACAAAGCAAAAAAAATAAGAAATTAAAGAGGATGTCAATAGACACCACACAAACAAGGAGAAAGAAAGTAAATCTCACCCATTCCCATTATTGTCGAGTTTCCATAGTGAACACTTACTCTGGTTGGTAATGAAGCCAAGCCGGGACATTTCGGGCGACGACTGATTAGGATTGGCCATTTCGGGTGAGACAATACCTCATTGCTGAGCCTCCAGCGCGAGTAGATGATGAAACCACACCGGAGCGTTACGGGCGATGTAGGATTGATGACGAAGGTCGCGCGTGACACTCAAAGCAATTGCCGCTGCAGCTTCATTGCGTTCGGGAAGGGCATGATCCAAACTCCATGAATCAATCCTTGCAAGGAGGAAGAAAATGTTGTGACGTATATGGCTGAGGCTAAGGTAATTTGTCGTGGTAAGAGCATCATGTAGGGTTGTAGAGGCAGTCTCAAAAATAATATTCGAGAAATGTAGAGTATGCAAACAATCGACTGCCCAAAAAAGAGCCCACAAATCTGCTTCTGTCTTTGAGCGCATACATGAGTAAGCACGACGGCTATGCAAGATTGTGGACCCTTTTTCATCCCGAAGGATCCAAGAAGCACCCGTAGTATGGCTTGAATGTACCCACGAAGATCCAACATTACATTTGAGGAAACCAATAGGTGGTTTTTTCCATTTAATGGTTTCCGGAACGACCTCATCCCCTCCATCCTTCCTACCAGTGAAAGTATCGAACCATATGGATTCTTCCTCATAAGCTTTACTAGCAATGAAAGATGCCTCTATCCTCTTAGACTCAAAGACGAAAGCGTTTCTAGCTTTCCAAATTTCCCATAACAACCATGGGAAGACATTCCTTGTATGAATATCCGTAGAGGGGCTCTTGTGAATCTTGAGCAAGTGCACAAAATTTAAAAAAGTGGAATTCCTGGAGAAACCTCCTAATGGTACTGGAAAATTGGAAAGCTCCCATGTTTCTCGTGCTTTATCACATGTAAAGAGAACATGACAGATACTTTCCGGACCAGTACCACAAACATAACAAGTTGGATCAATCGGAATCCCCCGAGTAGTCAAGCGCTGCTTAACTGCCAAAGCACCAGATAATGCCCGCCACATAAAATGTTTTATTTTTGGGGGAGCTTTAGTTTTCCACATTTCTCTCCACAGTTGCCGTTCAACCGGAGTAAGTGTTTGTCCTTGAGGTTGGTCAAAATCCACCAATGCCTCTAACAACTTGTACCCACTACGAGTAGAATAACAACTATTCGTTGTGAAGCCCCATCTAATAGAATCATCATGTACCACTGATGGCTTAAGAAGAAGAATCCTTTGAACATCTTGTGGTGTAAAAGTTTGCTGTAACAAGTTGATGTTCCATTGATTTGACCCTTGAACTAACAAGTCCGATACTTTAAGTGTTAAGTTTATCGAGCTATTCTCACGGTACATTGGAGGCCGTGGAATTGTGTCGATAATCCAATTTTCCGCCCAAACATTTGTATCAGCCCCATTTCCAATACGACGAAACAACCCCTTTTTGAGCAGTTCTCTACCGTGCATGATACTCCTCCATGCATATGACGGTCTTGTCCCCATTCCACACTCAAGAAAATTACCATTTTTGAAGTATTTACCCTTTAGAACTCGAGA